CAAACACAGGAAAGAGACATGCCTACCCTGGCGGGTTTGCAGACCCCGGAGTCCGCAGACATATTAGCGTTATTATGATTTAATATTAACAGTCACAACCACCTCATTGTGCTCGATGCTGTACAAACATAGGAAAGGCCAGTGCCTACCCCAAAGAATGCGGGTCATGTGACGGATGTGTCAGACCCACTGTTTGTGGAATTGCCACATGCCAAGGCCGGCATTCAGCACGGTGCTTAGGGACTACTCGGGTGATTTAAGTTAGGCATGCCCTTAAGTAGCTTGCTGGATTGGGACCCCTGTCTGGTCAATTATGAACGTTCCTGCAGGCACAATTAAGGCGCTGGAGAAATATATTCAGCCCAGGTGCTCTGATTAGGGGCCGTCCCACTGGGGTCAGCTGTAGAACAGTCACTGACACGCCATGGAAACAGCTCTCACTCCTTGCTTAGTGTGTGCAGCTGAAATGAGCTATTCCTGGGAAAACGGTGCTAATATTTCCCTGCGTTAGAAGCCATCCTGGAAGCCTGGGCAGGTAACTGATAAATAAGCCCCAGAAGGAGAAGAGCAGTCGCTACCTGTCCTTGAAACATGAGTAAAACAACATCAGCGTAGTCTGTGCACTAGACTAGAGCTCTCCTTGGGACCTTTTTCTTCTTCAGTTTTCCCCATGTTACAATTTATTTCTTATTAAGCTACATCCACTTTTAATCTCTGTAATTAGCAATGTGCATTCAAAGGAACGGGCGGGCTTGTTCCCACCATTATGTGTGGCTGGACTGAAGGAGAGGGCTGACCTTGTTGCAGCCTGATGGAAAGGGTGTTCATGGAATTAAGTGTAGCACGGTCGTCAAGTGGAGCGAGCATTGGGGCAAACACTGAAACGCTGGCATTTTATGCATATTTTAAAAACTTTTCTCTAACAAGGACTCCGTCTCCTGAATCTAGAGGGTGCTAAAGACAAACTGCTCTGCTGTAAATTTGCCTCCCGTTGTAACCCATCCAGTGACATCATTCCTGACCTTGCTCCGTTGTAGGTCAGGGTTTTAATGGAGCATAAAATTAGCCTCTCCGCCTTCAGAACTCCCCTTTTCACTTTGCTGATGCGTCTGAGGCTCTTAGCCGTTATATTACAAAGCAGATCTGCCTTTGTTGAGCACAACCTTGCCTGGCTCCGAGCACATATCTGCTCTGCACGGGCAGCATTCGTTTCTCACCACGCTGTGTACAGGACAGGAGTCATGGCTGCATGACACACAAGTACACCCAGATCTGCTAAGCCACTGGGG